TGTTTCAAATCCTCTTGCTGCACCATTCTGAAGGGCTGTTCCTACACGATAATTAAAAATATCAGTCAAGGGGCTGGCCTTGCCAAGGCGTTAGTCTTGGAAAGGCCGACCCCTCGGCTGATATTTTTTAAGTGATGAGAACATACATGGCTGCTCCCCAGCGCTTGGCCAGCCTTACACAACTACCCTGCTAGCACCTCTGCAAGACGTGACACAGATCACCTCCTGAGTCGCTGTGCAGAATGAGGCCCACATCTCGGGGGCCAAGTATTAGCCCTTTCAGTCAGAGGCCTGAATGCTGCTCTCCTTCAGCCAGAGGCCTCCCTTTCACTTGCAAGCTGTGTGTGGGAGCGAAGCAGCTTCTGGTAAAAGGAACAGGCTTTGTTTATTCAAAATGCAGCCCACTAGCAGGCAATGCCAACAAGAGGCCACTTCCCAGCAGCAGGGTTGAAGCCTGCACAGCTGAGTGTCTGTGCGTGGTTGTAGGCCACTTAGCCACCACATTGAGGTATCTTGAGCAAAGATGAGAACATTTTGGGAAGCCCCACAAGTCAGCCCTTTGCATCTCTGGCTGGTCTGCCTCTCCAGTTTGCCTCATTCCTGCCCAATTCCAGGGCAATCAATCTTTTGGAAAAGTAACAAGAGTCTTGTCTTGTCCTGAGATGTGAGGCACTGGGAAAAGCTTGTTACTAAAATGCCCACCAACTGGAGGCAGTCACTCTCAGCCCTGCTCTTCCCTCCCCTCCCAGCAGTGAGTGAGCTGCAGAGCAGCAGCAGCAGCCATGTTCAGTGCTTGGAGGATCCTTCTCTAAAGAAAACCCTTTGAAATGTTTTCTTCGGCAAATTATTAGAACTGGTTTCCCTGTTCAATCGTTCCCTTAGAAAATGAGCTGGTAAAATCAGTGTGGAACTATCTAAATCCTCCCAGGACTCAGCAATGGAAACATCCCCCAGTTTTTATGTTCCCTCCCCTGGCTCCATCAGCGTGAAAATCCTTCATGGAGGTGATGATTTCTCCGGAAGGACACAGCTCCTGATCCTATTGCATTGTCTTTAGCACTTCCACCCCTGGAGGGCACCAGGCATGAACCAGATACCTAGTGTAGCCACAAAGAATAGGCCACAGCCCCAGAAACTTCTTCCCTAGAGAGGAATCCTTTTTTCAAGTCACTGCTACTAGGATGAAGTCTCATTGTGGGGAATCCAGCTGGAGTGCACAACCTAGAGAGGTCTGCAGGGTGGGGGCTTCAGCAGGGGAGCTGGGAGTCAACACCACTCACAATAAGGCTGCCTCAAGTGGGAATGGCCAAGAGAAACTCCATCAGTGGGAGGCCTCAGAGCAACCCACAACTACTAGTTAAGCTGGAGGAAATCTCCAGTCTTGGTGTAAAGCAGAGCTGTGCAACATCCAAGTGGTCAAGAGCCACACATCCTGCAGGCAGCACCCATGAGGGCCACACACCATGCAAAACACATGAGGGCAAGCCACAGGTTGCACCCTGCCACTGCACCACGCTCCTGTGCATCCCTGAACTAATCCTCCACTCCTCATGTTGTGTGGCACTGCCTTGCCCCCTAGGACAAGGGCAGGAAGCAGCAGTCAGAAGAGGGAAAAGCATCCCAGAGGCCTGATTGCTGTCGCAGCCAGAGCAATAAGGGGAACAGCAGGTGAGCGGGAACCTGGGAGCTACAACTTAACCCCTCTAGCCCATGGGCCAGCAGTTGGACAGGCCCAGTGTAAAAAGACTTCCAGTCATGGAGTAATAAATCTAAGAGGTTTTAATAAGATCATCTAACTCAAGTGAATATCAAGGTATAAACTCAGCTCAAAGGAGACTTGTGTTGGAAGGCTCCAATTTTAACCCAAGTTCCCTGTGTAGAGGTAGGAACAGCCCTTCAGAATGGTGCAGCACAAGGATTTGAAACATCCACGTGCAGCTACAGCTGTTGTTGGTTCACTCTTGCCATTTCTTTGGACAATGGAAACAGCTTTGTTCACTTGTGTTTTTGGGTCATTTCCATCCTCAAGGTCTTGTGCCCTGGCTCACAGCTGCAATGTTTGGGCTGCAAACATCACTGGAGCACACTGTGTTTCAAAAATAGATTCATGTGAACAGCCCTCGTGACTTCAAATTTTGGAAAAAAATCATTTTGTATTTATGCAAAAGCTAAATCTGGCCCCAGGTTAGCCACCATCAGTCATGCCCAAACAATGGTTAGTTGCTAACTGGCCTTTAGAAGGGATGCCAAGTCTTCTAGAGCACAATTTTTCCTAGCATTCCTCTAGGCAAAAACATTAATGCGTCTCCCCCTTACTCAAGAACACCCTTGCCAATGCTCTTTGAAAAAATAAACCATGAAGAAAAGGCAGGTGCAAGAAATTATATTCTCCTTTTATTTACACTATACCATGACAACATGTTTTTGCTAGCTGCAGAGATGCTTTGCATTGTAAACTGGGCACTTGGACACAAGACACTTTGTCCAGTTCCGTCAGGTTCATCGCTAACTCATGCCTCCCAGAACACGACATCGTTATCCAGAGCAGTGAGAGAGTCCGATTCACTCAGCTAATTATCTACACAGTCAAACCCTCTGTCATCACAGAATGATATGTACACCCAGGATCCCCCAGCGGCCTGCTGCTAGGGAGCACACGGTTTTGTCAGATAAAACCTGCAAACATACAAAATTGTGTACACCCTCTCCGGAGAGATAGGCATCCATTCCACCGCAGAACTCCGATGCAATGCACAAAAATATTGCACTTGTAAATTAAGAAAGGAAAAGGGACGCAAGGAGTTCCTATTACACAGCACGCGCCCAACTACAGGAGATCAATAAATAAACCACAAGGCGGGAGATCGGCGCGGGGAAGCAGTTTCACTGCGTGCCTGTAGTGCAGGGCGAAAGAACCTGCTCCCCCTGCTCAAAAGGGGTCAATCGCCACAGACAAATGAAGGAAGTGCCATTCTGCCCCCAGATTTGGGGGCTGTCGTTTGCTTCCTTGAGGGGGAACACCGGGGCTAGGCCAATGTGGGATCTCCCAGGCAAGGGGAAGCACAACCACCCCACTGACCCAGGTCCAGTTGGTCCAGTTCAGGTGTCTTGTTCAGGAAAAAAGTTTGTGTTGTTCTGTTTTCCCCTTGCCAGAACCCCCATCCAAAAGCCCCACTCCCCGCTGACTCGGGGTCACTTGTCACCCTTCAAAACAAAAAGACAAAGCTCAGGCCAGTGCTTCACAGTAGTCTTGTGGGAGCTTCCCTCGTGGCTAAAACTCATGCCAGAGTTCTTCCATAGGGCGTCGTACCAGCAAGACGGTGAGATTCTGGGAGAATGGTGCAATAGAACAGTACCAGACTGCTTGGTTTTCCAGTTCCCTTGGCCTCAGGCTCTCTGCCTTTGCCTGTCCACATGCCTAGCCACTACATGGCCATGGCTTTGGAAGGTGTGAATCCTGACAGGAAGGCCTGCTCCCTTCATCCCACTCAGAGAAGGCCACCACCAATAAATTTTCATGTAAACATACAGCTCCCAGTCTGCCCCAGAGAGAGCCTCCTTGGGATCTACAGCGTGGGACTGGCTTTCTTCTGGTTAATTATGTCTAAGTACAAGTCAGAGCGGAGGAAGCGGGGGTAAGAGTCCTTCTCCATAAGCCCATAAATCCGTTTCTGAGCGAGGTCAAAGCAGCTCCGGGTAATGTTCTGCAGGTTCTCTTTGGTGTGCTCCCGTGTGTAAGAGTCCAGGTTCACCTACCAGGTAACAAAGGACAGTCTCTTATCAGCTCTCTCTCCATACAGACATATGCTCAGCACAGACACCTGGTCTCCCAAGACAGGGCGATATTTGAGGCTATTCTGCCCTTCTACAGAGTTCACTCACTCTGTCCTGACAGACACTGTCCCCCTCTGGGGTGAAATATTAGACCCAGGCACAGACCAAGGGAATCATCTCTTAGAAACAAGAGCCAGAAAGAAATCATTTAGCAGGTGTTACAAAAGAAGTTCATCAGCTCAGGGGCCATCACCAAGGAGGGGTGAGATCTATTACTCCATTCAGTAAGGGGCCAGAGAGAGAATTCTTTCAAGAATCCAGTGTAAGTTACAGTGCATAGTAGCCAAGCACTGAGATGATGGCTAGAGAATGATTTGTTGTATCGCTGCCAATTAGATCTCTCAGTTTAGATACAGGCTTTCATAACCGTGGTGTAAGGGGGTTAGGTAGCCACGATATGAAGCCACCATCACCCTTAGCACTAGCTGGCCCCTGGTTGGCCATAGAGGCAGAACTGCTCGTCCCTGGTGGTTCCTTTAGGATGCTGCTCCGACAGAGGAAGCCAACATGCAAAAGAGGCAACACGCACACAAGCCCTTGGTGAAAGTGGCTGGGCAAGTCTGTGTGAACGTGATTCACTGGGAACAAGCCAAACAGCTGCAAGTCTGAGAGAACGTGATTCACTGGGAACAAGCCAAACAGCTTTGCTGAGAGAAGACTCTGTCCCAGAAGCCAGACTGAATTGGTGGGAGGCCAGCACAGCACATACAAGATTTTTTCTTCTCCATCAGGCCAGGAGAATTAGCTACAGGCTGAGCTGGGATTCCACCTCACTGCCACAGGTCTGCTAATGTAAGGGGCCAATGGACCAACTGTGAGGGCCCGAGGACCACCGCTCCCACAGCACAAGCTCAACTGTACTGATGTCAGGTCCCAGCCATTCAGACTCCCCCCACCCCATCTCTGATGTGTGACAGGCCAAGGTGCAAATGATCTCCATTACCTCTTTGCACGACTGGATAGCAATGTACTCGGCAAAGATCTTCTTGGCCTTGGACACCATCTTGGACTGAGATTTGATCTTCCTGTAGTCTTCACAGGCCAGCCAGAACTCCAGGTTCTCCTCACTGAATTCTGTTCGCAGGAAT